GGTAAACTTATATAATAAACCTGTATTTATTATCATTTATTTTGCATCTTTTTACATTTCTATGCAATTAATTATACTACAAGTAGATTTTTTGGATAAATTTTTATAAATACTAGTCAGAAAAAATAAAAAAAGAAAGAATTATTTTTTTATAAATTAAAAAGAATACAAATGGTCACAGGAATTTTTATTTTATTTTATTTTCTTCTGGCATAGTCATTTGCTTTTGTTTAAAAGGAATTGAGTGTAGAATAAAAGGGAGGAAAATAATAAGGGAATTGGTATATCCCGTAATTATAAGATGTTATAATGGCAAATTTGCAACTCCCAACAACCATCTCTTTAAATACACCCTCCCATGACTTGATCCATTCAATTTGCAGCATCTCCTCCTTGAAGCTGTCTTCATCTATCTGCTGAACCATCTTTCATTCATTTTCACATCAAAACCACCAATTTTCCTTTCGAATCAATTCACCATGATGCAGTTCAGCTCCACCGTACCAGCCCACAACCTTCACAAGTTCCAGGCAATAAGGTGCCCCAGCTTCAGCTTCAGATGCCAAGCCTCCTCTTCCTCAACCTTTCAGAAGCCCTTTGTCTCCACCGAGTCAACTCGCCTGCACCTCGCCAACCTCGATAAGCTCCTCGAGACCCAGAAGCCCGTGGACCCACCCTCCCAACTCCACCACCACCAACAGCACCCACACCAACCCATCATCAACCACCCTAAGGAAAAGAAAGGAAGAAGCTTTCTCGAAGGCCTCAACTTGGCAAGGCTCTGGCCGGAGATGAAGGCGAACGAGGAAATGTCCCCGCGCCACCTCAATCGCCTCCAGCGGCTGCTCTCCATGACGGCGGAGTATTCCCCGAGGAACATCCTCGGCGGGCGGTGGAGAGAGTACCACGGCAGCAACGACTGGAAAGGGATGCTGGATCCTCTTGACGAGAATCTCCGGCGAGAAGTCGTCCGCTACGGAGAATTCGTCCAAGCCGCGTATCAGGCTTTTCACTCGGACCCTGCCATGTCAACAGAGGAGCCGCCACACCCCCGCCACGTGTCGCTTCCCGATAGATCGTATAGAGTGACGAAAAGCCTCTACGCCACGTCATCGATCGGGTTACCGAAATGGGTGGATGACGTGGCTCCGGATCTTGGATGGATGACCCAGCGGTCGAGCTGGGTCGGGTACGTAGCCGTTTGCGAAGACAGAAGGGAGATCGCAAGGATGGGAAGGAGAGACATTGTTATCTCTCTCCGGGGAACCTCGACGTGTCTGGAATGGGCCGAGAATATGAGGGCCCAATTGGTTGACCTCGAGGATGTTCCGGAAGGGCAAGGAAAGCCCAAGGTGGAGTGTGGGTTCATGAGTCTGTACAAGACGAAAGGCGCACACGTGGCGAGTCTGTCAGAGTCCGTTGTGGAGGAAGTGAAGAGACTCGTCAATCTTTACAGAGGCGAAGAGTTAAGCATTACCGTGACAGGACACAGCCTGGGAGCGACGCTGGCGCTATTGGTGGCCGATGAAATAAGCACGTGTTGCGCCGGAGTTCCACCGGTGGCTGTTTTTTCGTTCGGTGGGCCGCGAGTGGGGAACAAGGCCTTCGGCGATCGCGTGACGGCGAAGAACGTGAAAGTTTTGCGAATAGTGAATTCGCAGGACGTGATTACGCGCGTGCCTGGGATCTTCGTGAGCGAGGAGCTTGATGAGAAAATACGGAGAGTGGGAGGGGGAGTGTTGGAGGAGACGACGCCGTTGGCTTACTCGCACGTGGGAAGTGAGCTGCGTGTGCAGACGAAGATGTCGCCGTACCTTAAGCCGGACGCGGACATGGCGTGCTGCCATGATTTGGAGGCTTACTTGCATTTGGTGGATGGGTTCCTGGCGTCGAATTGTCCGTTCAGAGCGAATGCAAAGAGAAGCTTGGCGAGGTTGATGCAAGATCAAAGCGCCAATGTAAAAAAATTGTACACTAGCAGGGCTAAAGCCTTAACTGTTAATCTCAATAGACAGGGATCCATCTCCATGTCTAATTGTTTACCAAGTCCATCTTAATCCTAATCAGTCTGTTACATATATATCCTCTTCCTTTTCTTATGCTTCCCTTCTACATCTATATATGCACAACATCGACATGCATTAATCATTACTATAACAATGCTACTATCCTACTACTCCTAAGTCATGGAGTAGAAAACAATTATTTCTGTATCATCACTGGAGAAGAGAGTTATTGAATGTTTCTCCACCAAATCTCTTTTAACATTTAACAAGAAAAGTGTATATAAATAAATGTTATTAAGAAATTGTTGTTTATAACTTGTTCAATTTTCTTACACATGCTCAGGGTACCTATGATCTATAATGAGGAAAATCCTAAATACATTAAATAAATTTCAATATGATTTTCATGCTAATTTATGTGAACCAATATTTGTTTATAACTATTAATATTTATTCAGTTTGATTTGGATTAATCGTTATTTTTATTATTATTAATGAAAATAAATAAATTATGTAGTTTTTGGCATATGAACATAAATAAAGGTTTTAAAAGTTGGAAAAACTATTTTTAAGAATTTTATATTATAAATTTACTATTTAATTTATGTAGTAAAACCCACTGATAGGAATCTTGTTTTGCATTTGTTTGGAAATTTGAATAATTAAAAAAAAAACATATATTATGTTTTTGGATCGTTGTCCCATGGGAAGCTCCAATAATTAAGGGTAAATAAATATCCATTTCACGGTTAAATTCTGGACATCTATACGGCCCAATTACAAGACCCAATTCTTACTAACAGAAAAATAAGATGACACATTGATTATGGTAAAACAAATACAGGTAGAATATTAATATATTCACACAAAAAATGATTTTATAACTGCAGTTTTTTAATTAAAAAATATTATGATATTTCTCTCCACTTATAACCTAATGCTTGGCATGTTCTACTTATTGTTTCGTATTAAAATTATATTAATAAAGTAACGTACAAGACATTATTAAAAATCCGTTGTAGTCTAGTTGGTCAGGATATTCGGCTCTCACCCGAAAGACCCGGGTTCAAGTCCCGGCAACGGAATCTTTTTGAGGTTGTCTTTTTTCATTTTGCAATGTGTAGTTCTCTTCATTTATCATTTTGGTTTAAAAGCATTTTCATGAAAAGAAAAAAAAAAAAAAAGGTGTGGCTGAGTGGGATTGCCACCAAACGCAGGTGGTGAACTTGACACTGTTCATTGTCGTGGATTGTTCTGCAAAAAGGCACCACCCCCACACGTATCTGTTTCTCAGTTGCTTTCACACCTTGACGCGCCCACGTAAAGCAGATATTTCACTCTCACCTATAAGCTTTTCTTCTCACTCCTTCTGCATCCATATCTTCAACACCAGATAATGCCGTCTTTCAATCTAAAATCTCTTTTTTTGTCTGCAAATTTTCCAACTTTCAGATCATCTTCTTTACAATCATCCCCTCATTCTAAATTTTATTCTTATTTTACACGTGTTTCTTATTCTTTCCGTACCTAATACTCCTATACTACTCAGAAAGTAGCGTCATCTATGAGAAAGAGAGAACTCTCTTAATCCAATTGTCAAGCAATACATAAACATTCGATATTTTTAACTTAGGCCTTTCTTCCTAGTCTAAAAGGAGTAGAAGTGTTTGAAAACTATAGTTCCCTTGTTATGTGCATTTTCTCAAATAATATTTTCAACTTAAATTTATTTTCATACGTTGAAAAATTAAGTATAAAAATAAGTTTAATTAATAAAAAGCACAAATTTATTAATTAAGTCTTTTATTTGATTGATATGTAGTGGTATTTTAAATTGTGTTGACTGTAATTAACAAATATTAGGTTTTGTGTAAAGGTCGAGAAGGAAAAGGTCTAGACAGATATATCAATATAAGATGAGATAATTTTGAATGCTCATACTGGTAAATACATTATTCTAATAAATATAATCAAGGATAATTAATGGAGGATTAAGATAATAAATTACATATAAGGAAACTTTTAAACAATCTACACATGCAAATCCTATATCCATGAAGAACATAAACTCATAAATGTACTATAAATATGCATTATTTACTATGTGCATGACATTAGATTCAATTATTACATTATTTATTGTCTCTCATATGATGGTCAAATTAACTTAAGAGACTTTTCAACCAAATACCCATGTCATCACATATACTTGACATTCAAACATACACACGAAGATACATTCACTTTTAAAAAATTGATTAGTAAAAAAACAGTAAACACATAAAAAGTACAAGTATATCTCATACTTGTGAAAATAAATTCAATTAAGTCAAAAATAAATATAAAGATCAAAATAAATAAAAAAATTAAATATAAAAACACAAATTACTGATTAAATCATAAACATATTTTAAATGAAATAAAGGACGTATGAAAATACGGGGATTATACAGGCAATGCAGACCGTATGATATACGCGGGCCAAAAAAAAGAGTAGCATTTGACATTGGAAAAAAAAAGTGAGAAAGGGTATACGCAAGTATGACATAAGGAGAGAGAAAGAAGCCAAAGAGCGAATTGGAGGAGTCATGTGAAAGGATAGCATCCATCCCTCTGCGGCGTCAATCGATTCCAGTTCAAGCAACACAAGACAAGACAACGTTAACATATGCAGAGGTCGTGGAGTGGTAGTGGCAGTGTTTGGCGGAAGAAACCATCCTTGGACTTGGACTTGGACTCGGACATGGACACCGACCAACACCTACCCACATACGATCCCCTCTCCCACGTTGCCCAGAGACACCTCTCTCGTCTCAGATCAGCACAAAACGCTGTCCATCTCATCCCTCTCCTCGTTCTCTTCTGCGCCGTCGTTCTCTGGTTCTTCTCTGCTCCAACCTCTTCGCCATATCATCATTAAAGGTTTCCCTCTCTCCAATCTTACCATTCATCCCTTACCACCAACACTCATTAATTTTTACCCATCCCTTGCAGATTTCTATTTCGGACTATGGTCAACGCCTGCATAAAAATTGCTGCTCTGTCTTTCCTTCACTTTTCACGACGCTCTCAGCAACGACGAACAATACCTGAACTGCTTACGGAATCCTCTGTTTATTAGATTGTCTTTCAATAGATTGCTTGTATGTTTATTCATCCTCAACCCTCTTCAATTTTTACTCTATTACACGACTTTGTTGAATCCTCCTGACTTAAGCGGAGAGCAAATTATAGTGATTATAGACAAATTAATTATGTGATTAGTTTTACAAAAAGAAAAGAATATACCTGCGGGTTAACATGATTGCTATGTCCGAGAAATTTAGGGGTGAAAGTTAATGTTTATTTTGGTTGATTTCAAGTGTTTTGGAATGCAACTATTTTAGTGTTACTGTTTATGATATCAGAGGAGTTCTTTCCTAATAACAATAAATTTGAGTGATTCCACTGTTAATCTGTATTAATTGGTAAAAATACACTAGATTTTTTTTTTTTGGCAAGCCAATCATAAAGGGAGAAGTTCCCAGAAAGCATTTAATGTACTCATTTAAGATTGGATTATGCTGTGATTATAACCTATTGAATGATGAACATAAAGATCTCTCTTTTTATACCCATTGAATGCAGTGTGTACATATATTGCAGATTGAACAGAAATGAAACTATATAGTTTATTCTTCGTCAATACACAATCTTTCAATGTGGTTGCCATTGCTTTGCTTTTCTTCTTTATAGACTCTCACAAGTAAAATTTGTATGCTCCAGTAATGGCTGGAGTCTGACTAGCTTAGGTATGACAATATTGTTCCTGACAGAACACACCACTGGGTTCTCCCACTGCAAAGCGGAACCCACAAGGTTTGCACGTATGGTTAGTGGAAACACACGGGGCCATCTTTCAGCGCCATAGGACCTGAAGGCTTCTTCCACAGAAGGGTCTTCAGACTTGATTGCTCTGGCAAGCTTTTTGGCAAGAACCACTGAGTCTTCCAGTGCACAACAAGCTCCTTGCCCGAGATTTGGGGTCATTGGATGCCACGCATCTCCAACCACCACAACTCTTCCAGCAGAAGCACCTGGGCTTATGGCTGGCCAGAGCCATCTGTCTACCAATGGAGTCTTGATCACAGTATCATCTGGTGTAGAATCCACTATGTTCAATAGCTCTGAAGGCCAATCCTTCACTAGTTCCTTAGCTTGGTTCTTCAGCACCATTGAGTCTGTTATTTTTGGACCTGTCATCGAACATACACAATTTTTGTCCATGAGATGATGGTATATCATACTAGTTGCAATTACAAAGTCAGTGATTTAACCGTGCATTTTGTTCGTATTAACAACCTGGAGAGGGACTATTGAAGCAGATGAACCAGTAAACTTTGGTCGGAGAAACAGGAACAAAGCCCGCGCGCAACCCTCTTCCGTAGATATAATTCACTCTTGGTCCAAAAGGTTGTCCATCAGAATAAGACGCAAGTCCTCGGAAAGCACAGTGACCAACGTACTTGGGCTCAGGAAATCCCATCCATTTGGCTATAGGTGATCGAATTCCTTCGCACCCTATCACAGTCTGTTTAGAGATTAAATCGTTTTTCTGTTCATAATCGACCATTCTGTCTTAAGTTCCAACATTTAGTAAATCATAGGACACCGTAACACTAAGATTTTAATTGTGGCCAGTCATTTCATTAACTAAACATGTGATGAATGATGTCCACTGCATGCAGCTAGAAAATTTAGTGCTATGCTAATAGTTACAGCACCTTGACTAACCTTTGCAAGCAGCTTTGACCCATCCACAAGTTCCAACAAGGTATCCCCGTTTGAAGTGGCTTCAATGTTTGCTAATTGTGAAGAAAATTGAATGGTATCCCGTGGTAGCTGACTAGCCAAGGTTTCCAAAAGCACTTTCCTCTCCACTGCACGTACCTCTTGACTGCATTTCATGACTTAATATCGGTCCTCACTTATGCTTACAGCCTTATCATACCAATAACCAGTGCTTGATGACAATTACAAATTGTAAGAGAAAATAATAATACTGTTTTCTTTCTATCATCAGGGTATTTTTATTTATTTTTTTAAAAATAGCTTATATAAGTTCTGATTTAGATAAAAAGTTTATTTCATCTCCTTTGATTGTACTTTTGAAATAGACTACAATGGCCTTTTCTGACAAATGCTGCTTCAAAACACACTTATAAGCATCAATTATATGTGTACATATCATGATTATCTGCTAATCATCCCAAACCATGCGGGTGAACCATAATTCATTATCCTATCCACACACCATTGAACATACCTTTCATCCTCTTGCTTGAAATTGAAGGCTCGTAGTTCCCTCCCATCCTCGGACTTCACCACCATCCTGTACAGCTGATAATGTGAACCAGATCAAGCTCAGCCGGTATACAGATTAAAAATGATGAAATTTTTCAAAAGGGTGTTCATGTATGCATCCACGTACCCTTGAATTTCTAAGAACTGAGTTCTGAGATCATCAGCTACTCCAATTGCATCGAGTACCCTCCATCCATTTTTGAAAAGGGTCAGTGAGGTTCCACCGGTTCGAAGTGACTCTGCCTGCTCCAGAACCAGGGACTGAACTCCAAGCCTGATGCATAAATCAAACATTAGCCCAACACAGTGAATAAACAAGATGGTGGCTATGAAGAGAGCTGGAATTGTAACCTGTGAAGGGAGAGAGCAGTTGCAAGGCCTGCGATCCCAGCACCCACGATCACAACTTGTTCCTTTGGTACACCAGACTGAAATTGAGCCTTGATGACCCTGTAACTTCTGCGGGTTCCAATTCCATGTCCAAACCCACCAATGTTCCTGAAGACAAAGGACGAGGTTGTTGTAGCCATAGATGTTGTGATATGCTGTGATATGTTGAGAGAGGTACGCCATATTCATCACGGTCGTGGGCGGAGATAGGGGTGTGAAGTGTTTAGCCCTGGACCATACAAACTAGTGGTGGAAAACATCTCTTATAAAATGTACACTACCAGTCACAATATAGATGTTTCTTAAATTTCCAAAACTGCAACACATGATAATATTATGTTTGACATCTGCTACAATATATTTTTGGAATTACCAATAGTTATATACTTTTTCGTTCAAAACAGTTGTTTTAATTTTATAGTCTTGAAAAAAAATAGGGGATATACACATATATTACGTATTTCCCTCACACACATCAACACGACAAAATATTATCATATATTTATTAAGTAAATACTCGTGTGTAATGATTTACATAAATATTTAGTTGAAATTGTTGAGTGATGTTATAAATTTAATATTGCTGTTTAATTTTCGTAAATAAAAAAGATGTCAGCTATCTTTCTAACTGACATGTAATAAATAGGAGTGAAGTACTCTAAATAAAATAGCAGTTACTGCTGGGTGGTCGTTCAATTTGAAAAGTCCTCAACAAATTAACCTTTCCTTAAAAAGACCAAATAAAAATTCATAACTAATATGCAATAACTTGGTCGTCTATTTATACAGCTGGTGGTTGGTGTTCATCTTTTAATCACCCAAATGGATCTAATTCCCTTGAAAGAAACACCCCTATTGGAGTACATACACAAAAAATGCATGCTTACAAATTTAGCAGTTGGGGACGTTATTAAATGGATAGACAAAACGTTAGTTGGGATGGATGGCAAAGACAAGGCAACGTGAGTTAGAATAATTTATTGTCATTTATTGTTGCATTTATTGCTGTTTTCTCCAAACTTGCATGAAAACAAAAATTAATGAAGATAATGGTTAATTAGTATGTTGCTTATATACACAGATTGCAGACGAGATATCAACATCAATTATTAAGCATTAATTAACAAAGAATTGGTTTGATCTTAAAACGAGATCAGATATGATAATATCTCAGTTAAATTCTACCACATTATTCATGCTACTGTTGGCGACACTCCTTTTCTCCATCACAGCCGCACATTCTGGTTTTCGCTCTGCAACATCAATATAAATGCATCACCAACGCTCCAAAATTTTGTGGTGACTCTAGCAACAGGTTAAACAAACAGAACAAAACAATGGAGGTGCATGAGAAGGGTGACGCCCCAAGGAAGAGCCTCTCAGAGTTGCAGTTTGTGACTGCAATGAGCGTGCCACCGCTCAAGGTGACAGAGCCACGGCGAGTTCGCAAAGTTTTGGTCAGTGACGAGCACACAAACGCCATCCACGGATGCTACCAGATGGTTCTATGCTACGAGAATCTGAAGGAGGATGATCATGGTTGGTACATGGCTGGTTGGATGGTGGAGTCACTGGCCAGGGTTCTGTTGAATCATCCTCTTCTCGCAGGTCGCCTTCAAAGAAAAGATGGCACAGGGTTCGAAATCGTGGCCAATGATTCCGGTATCAGACTTTTAGAGGCATGTTACCCGACAAGCTTGTCACACTTTCTTGAGCTGAACGAAAGAAACCAACATCTCAAGACCGAGCTTGTGTTCTGGAAGGAAATCGATGCTGAGTGTCCTCAGTTCTCTCCCCTTTGTTATGTTCAGGCAAATGTTACATTGCATATTACATTACATGCATGCAGTATTTGTTTTTGTCTCGTTTTGGTTGGTTTTCGATGGATTGAAACTGTTTGTGTGTTTACTTTTAGGTGACAAATTTTGAATGTGGAGGGTACAGTATTGGCATTAGTTGCAGCCTGCTACTGGCAGATGTTTTTGTGGTGGACAATTTTCTCGGGAAATGGGCTGAAATACACAAGAACATGTCAGACCAAATTCGAGAAATTAAGACACCCGTATTTTACCACCCACCCACGAAAAAGTCGGAGTCTTTTCCATTAATTAACCGTTCCGAGAGTGAAAGTAAAAGTGGGGTTAAGAGATTGGTGTTCAAAATCATTACAGAGGAGATGTGGAGGAAAATGGCGATGGAAGCAGAAGGGAAGGTAGAGAGTGAACTGGGTTCAGAATTTTGTTCAGAGGTGATGAAAGTTGAAAGTTGGTCGATGAATGAGAGAATGAGATTGAATGAGATGAGAGAGTTTGGAGTGCAGGAAGTGAGATTTAATGAGGAAAACAAACCTATTCATGTTTGTTGTTGGATTGATTATGTGAGGGATGAACATGTTATGACAGTGGCACTCCCCAACCTCAAGAACAATTCATGTGCTGTCATTCTAGTTTCACTGTGTTAGGATTCATCAAACTTTAATCTATTTTATGTTTTCTGTCATTTTACAATTATATGTAACGTTTCTTGTTTCTATTAACGTTTCTTCTTACAATTAACTGAACTCTGTGATTAATGATTGGTTATTTGATATTCATTTTATTGTATGTCTGTTTATAATATTGTTATTATCAATTCTGACTAAAAAATTATATTAATTCGCTTTTAGAAAAAATAATTATAGTAGTAAAACAAAACAACCTGTAATAACTATAGTAGTGAAAATTCATTTAGTGAATAAATTTAAATAATAAGTGATTTAAAAGAATAAAATGATGGAATAATTCTTTTAATTTTAATAAATAAATAAATTTAAATTAACTGTAATTTAAACAATAAAAATAAAAATATAAGTTTAAAATAAAGTTTACTTAAACAGTAAAATACGAAAAAAAAGTATAATTATTAAACCTTCTTATGTATTATTAATAATTTTTTTAATTAAATTTCTTTTTTTAATTACATTTTTTATTAAATTTCTTTTTTTTATATTTTTTAATTTAATGTGTCTTTTAATTTTTCTCATTAATGAAATAACAGAATATAAATCGATAAATGACTTATATTATTTTACATTGGTCATAAAATTGACAAAAATTTAAGATAATGGAATAATTTCATTAATGAAAAAATGAAAAAAAAAACAATAATTTAATTGAAAAATATAAAAATATTAAGTAGCACTGTGATTTTATATATTTAAGAAAAAAATACTAAAATAATTATTACATAAAAATGTCTAGTTAATTTTAGTATTTGAATATATATATATATTTTTTACTTTTTAGTATATAATTAAAAGTAAAGTATAAATGAAAAATGTGTACAATCAAGGAAATTTTCTTATATAACTATTTACATCAAATTCCCCTGTACTAAAAATAATAAGTATTATTTCTCTTATGATGTTGATGGACATTTATATAACTATCTACTTCAAATTTAGCATAAAAATGTATTACTGTATTTTTAAAGTTGAATAAATTACAAAATTATATTATTACGTTGTTTAAATGGAGGTATCTAATTAAATATTTTATTGGTGAAAAATTAAATTGAATAAAATAATATAAATAAATAATGGAATATATAGATATGATCGAAAAACGTGTTCAAGAAACGTGTCATACGAGTGCAAGCTTAACTAAGGTTATTACTTTTACAGAAACATTTTACGAAGAAACAAGGGCATTTGGTTTAGGGTTGGAGAGGAAGTGGTGAACAGGTGACAGGGGAATGGAATTTGGGAGAGTTAATGGCGAGAAAAATGCGATTCGATTCGAGAATCCATTTACTTTGAAGGTGGGTCAAGTGTTTACAGGTTTTGGGATCGGTTGTGGAGTCGGCATCGGCGTTGGGCGCCCTTTAAATTTGGGTATTCGATTCTCTTTCAGGAAGGTGATTATTATTATATATTTGTGAATTTCAGTGAATATTATTTTACCAATTCTTGTTCATTATTCCATTTAGGGGCAATTCCTATGTTGAATCAAGTAATGAGTGCCACCAGGGGTGCGACCGATGCGTTTTCTGGTGTTAGTAGGCATGTTAATACTTCTGTAAGACAACATTGATCATTTTCTTATTTACATAAATGCTGTTACAACTTACTAACCTCATTAACCTTTTTCTTTTACACTTTTAATGAACTATTTATTTGTGGCATTTTATGCAGCTGAGGAAGTTGGGAGCTAAGAATATTGAAGTGGGTATTGGATGTGGAGTTGGTTTTGGTCACGGTTTTGGAGTTGGTATGCCATATCTGTTCATTATATATATAAATTCTTTGCCAAATGTTTCACCCTTTTGTGATTTTTATGTCATCACATTTTAGTTAAGCTTGTTCATTGCATGAATTCCCTTGTTTAGCCTTTACTTTAAATACTCATGTCATGTGTTCCATTTTTTTGTTTGAGTCATTCTGTTCTATTCTGAATTATTATTCTGTCTGCTGTGCTACTATTGGCAATGTGTTTAGCTTTTATATTTTCCAAAAATTTTACTACATTTTTCTTGAGTAGTTCTCAAAATGTTTTGTATGTGGAACTGGAAGTTTTGGTGTTTCAACATTTTATATGCTTAGAAAATCTCAAAATCTTTTCCTAGGAGGCAACTTTGGAGCGTTTGCCTTATGAAATTGATTTTTAAAACTATGACGAACTGTGGGTCACTGAATGTTGCTTCTCAGTTTTGATGATATATTGTGCAATGCACAGGAGAATGATTTATATTAAAGAAACTGCAGTGTAATGTTATACAATGGCATGCATTTTACACTAAAGAAAAAGAAAGTGGAAGCAGCCAATGCTCTCTAGAAATTGCTGCAATGTTCGTAAATACCAGGACACTATAAACTCAAATACTGGTCGTGCTTGAAATTTAGTTGCCACCTATATATCCTTGGCCATATTATGATTGTCACTTGAAATGTTCATTTCTGTTTAATCACTTCAGTTGACAAGGCTCCATATTTTGCATGCCTGCTTTGGTTGGTAGCTAAATTATTATGTTTTTATTATGTCAGGTCTTGCTGTGAAACCAGGGGTTTTGAATCAAATTCAATCTTGTCTTGTAGTATGTGAATTTTTCTCTTATAACAAAAGTATTGACATCTGCATCTCCCTTTTCTGTATCTCATGGCTAAAATCTTGGATTTTGTAGGATGTAATGACGAAGATGGCGACAAAGTTGGGACTTAGTCCCAGTTTAGCCCTTAATCAGGCTGCGTTTCCACCATCGCAAAATGCTGTAAGTACAGTCAATACAAACCAAAGTTTTGCTGGAAGCATGATGCAGTTGGCAACTAAATCAACTGATCAAGCATCTCAAGGTCTGGCAGGATCCCTGCCTGTGCAAATTGGTTCAGATTTTGAAAATACTCCATTAAGAAGCACTGCAGTTGACTCTGCATTTGGCAGCCGAACTGAGAAGGTTATTAGCAACTTTCTGCAGAATCCCCTATTGAAGGGGGAAGGAGAAGGACTTGATGAAGCAGTAAGCACTCATTTTCATTAATGGCGATTAAATGCTATGCTTTCTATCATTCTAGCCATTGATTTGATTTTTAATTGCTTCTACTTACATGTGGATGAAGCGAAAGAATTTGCATTCTGTATTGGTAGTGTTGAAAGATGAAACGTAAGCTAAAGGAACAATTTGCTTCTTGGAACAGTTATATCCCTTGAATGTGTTTCTTCTTTTTATGTGGGAATACTAGGAAAGTTCTAGACATAGTATGGAGATAGGGGAAGGAGGGCTATAATTGAGTTGAATCAGCCTCAGTGGAATCTAGTAATCTCTCCAAGCTACTTTAGTTATGGCACTTGGGCTGAATGTGATTGGCACTTGGGCTGAATGTGATTCTTGAATATGTTGCCAAAAGTGCTTAGTTTCCTGAAATATTAAAAAATATTTTTGTTAAATTCCCTAAAAAATTCGTAGTTATTCATGGTCGGATGGTGGCAATAGAGGTAATGGTTATTGCAGTGGCAGCAATGTTGGTGTTAACAAGTGTGGAGGGATATAACTAAAAGTGAGGAGGGTTCGGTCATTATGTCTATTTTCACATGCTGGGTATCAAAGAAAAACCCTTGTGTCTTCCTATCTAATTGTTGGGCCATAACAGGGAATGTTACGTCATTGAATAGTTTTTTATAAATTACATTTGACACGATACCCTGATATCCTGAAACTCACATGCGAACTTCCTGCGCTGATAATGTCCCTTATCATTTTTGTGTTTTAAATATCAAAATTGTTGATAACCTTGTTTTTGCATCCTCTCGTCCTATAAAAAATCATTGTCATTATTAATTATTAGACTTGTTTGAGCCTGCAAAAATACGTTCGGTAATTGTATTGTAGGTATGAGAGTATAAACTTGTTCAATTTTTTTACCTCTTCGTATGTGCATCGTTTTTTAGTTAAACTACTGAGTGTTGTTATTGCTAAATTCTGTTTGTTTCTTTTTACACCCTTTTGTGATTGATTATGGTATTTTAATTTTAGTTTTATTACACAACTTCCTTGCAATTAGATTATTACTATGAAATGTTTTTCTAAACTATAATGTGTACGATGGACACAATTATCTTGGTTTTCCCAATCAATATTGTGCATGATAGAATGAATGTTCATTTGTGTATTTTATTGCTTTTTCCGCAGTTAATAAAATATTATATGAAATTCTAATTCTAAGATACATTGTAGATTGGACGTCTGCAGTCAGAAAGGATAATACTTCAAATGGTAACTTTTATGTACGCTTAGATTCTCAATCATTATTTTGTCTTCTGACCAAAAACTCACGATTTTCTTTTGTGGATTTAGGTTTTGAAACACCAGAAAATCATTGACGAACTTGTGGAAGAAAATGAGAGACTGAGGCGTATACTAATAGAGGACCTGAAAGTACCATCTAGCAAACTTGAAGCAAGTTCTTCAGGTAGAAATAGAAATACGGTGCCGTGTAGTGAATGCTTTGAGTGCCGAAGAAAACAAAGAAAAAAGTAGGTTAGTAATCATAATAGTAAAATCATAAATTCTTGCAAGTGCCTCCCCTGCATTTTTGGGTTTTCTTGGGTTTCTTGGGTTACGAATTTTTGGAGATCTCAATTTAACGAGTTAGGATGGAATGGAACTTACAAAATTAAATCCTTATTATTATTTAAATATTTAATGATAAAATAGTATTTGAAAAATAGTTTTGTTGCTTGTAACCTAATTCTCAAAAAGTAAAAGATTTTTTGTGGAATAGAGGCTGTCTTTTGTATTATTTTTAAGATTTATTTTTGTTCTTAGTTTAAAAAATATTTTGCTTTTTATCTTTTAATTTTGGATCAATTTGATTGTCCTGAAATAATTATCGTTTTCATGAGAATTCTGATGTGTGATTTTGAACTTTTTTTCTAAGTTCAAGACGTTAAACTTGTATCATTAAATTAGATTTATCTACAAAGCCCAAGGCGTCTTTTAAAAAATATTATGAACATGTTAGAAGTTGCATGAAAATTGAGCTTAGTATGTAATTAGAAAATTGACATATCAAATGTTTTGATATTTTACACTACATTTGTTACGTTCGAGATTTTTTTTTACATCTTAAGCTGTACAATTGTCATATAGATAAACGTATTAAAATAAGTTTGCACATTAAATTGGTAAAAAAATAAAAAATTATCTTGAAATGAAAAAATAACACTTATATGGATGAACCAGACTTGAAAAATAAAAGAAGTATAGGATTAATCTATTGAATTATAAGATAAATTGACAAAAGTATAATCTAGTTAGTTAAATAGATTGTATTTACAAATGACAAAACGGGCTGCTTTTGGTTTGTTCTATATTTGGTCTACAGAAAACAGGTGGGTTTAACCTATTTTACGCAAGAATGGGTTAATTGTTAGTTTGTCATGTATAATGATTAGTATGTTGAAATAAAATTGTGAGGAAAATTATACATGTTGAAATAATAATTTTATTTTAGTATTATATATCTTTATTGTATTTTATTGGTTTCCCATTGATAATGAAATTAAAATAAATTAATGAATATAAGATTAAGTTTCAAATAAATATGTGAAAATCTGAAAGTTAAATATTTGAATAAAAAAGTATAAAAAAAAATTTTGTTTATAAAAAAATTATAATAATTAATAAAAATATGAGAAGATTCAAGTATAGAATAAAAAAATAACAAAATAAAATAAAAGAGTTTCCTGACTTAAAAATTAAAATAATGTAAATAAAAATTTCCAAGCCAATGTAGTTACTTTGTGAATGAGTATTAGTTGACATTTAATTTGACTATCCAAAAGATATTCTTGTAGAAAATTCAAACATTGTCGCCTGATATTGGATTATTTATTTATTTACTTATTTCTGAATTATTACACCAATCAATTANATGCCTGCTTTGGTTGGTAGCTAAATTATTATGTTTTTATTATGTCAGGTCTTGCTGTGAAACCAGGGGTTTTGAATCAAATTCAATCTTGTCTTGTAGTATGTGAATTTTTCTCTTATAACAAAAGTATTGACATCTGCATCTCCCTTTTCTGTATCTCATGGCTAAAATCTTGGATTTTGTAGGATGTAATGACGAAGATGGCGACAAAGTTGGGACTTAGTCCCAGTTTAGCCCTTAATCAGGCTGCGTTTCCACCATCGCAAAATGCTGTAAGTACAGTCAATACAAACCAAAGTTTTGCTGGAAGCATGATGCAGTTGGCAACTAAATCAACTGATCAAGCATCTCAAGGTCTGGCAGGATCCCTGCCTGTGCAAATTGGTTCAGATTTTGAAAATACTCCATTAAGAAGCACTGCAGTTGACTCTGCATTTGGCAGCCGAACTGAGAAGGTTATTAGCAACTTTCTGCAGAATCCCCTATTGAAGGGGGAAGGAGAAGGACTTGATGAAGCAGTAAGCACTCATTTTCATAAATGGCGATTAAATGCTATGCTTTCTATCATTCTAGCCATTGATTTGATTTTTAATTGCTTCTACTTACATGTGGATGAAGCGAAAGAATTTGCATTCTGTATTGGTAGTGTTGAAAGATGAAACGTAAGCTAAAGGAACAATTTGCTTCTTGGAACAGTTATATCCCTTGAATGTGTTTCTTCTTTTTATGTGGGAATACTAGGAAAGTTCTAGACATAGTATGGAGATAGGGGAAGGAGGGCTATAATTGAGTTGAATCAGCCTCAGTGGAATCTAGTAATCTCTCCAAGCTACTTTAGTTATGGCACTTGGGCTGAATGTGATTGGCACTTGGGCTGAATGTGATTCTTGAATATGTTGCCAAAAGTGCTTAGTTTCCTGAAATATTAAAAAATATTTTTGTTAAATTCCCTAAAAAATTCGTAGTTATTCATGGTCGGATGGTGGCAATAGAGGTAATGGTTATTGCAGTGGCAGCAATGTTGGTGTTAACAAGTGTGGAGGGATATAACTAAAAGTGAGGAGGGTTCGGTCATTATGTCTATTTTCACATGCTGGGTATCAAAGAAAAACCCTTGTGTCTTCCTATCTAATTGTTGGGCCATAACAGGGAATGTTACGTCATTGAATAGTTTTTTATAAATTACATTTGACACGATACCCTGATATCCTGAAACTCACATGCGAACTTCCTGCGCTGATAATGTCCCTTATCATTTTTGTGTTTTAAATATCAAAATTGTTGATAACCTTGTTTTTGCATCCTCTCGTCCTATAAAAAATCATTGTCATTATTAATTATTAGACTTGTTTGAGCCTGCAAAAATACGTTCGGTAATTGTATTGTAGGTACGAGAGTATAAACTTGTTCAATTTTTTTACCTCTTCGTATGTGCATCGTTTTTTAGTTAAACTACTGAGTGTTGTTATTGCTAAATTCTGTTTGTTTCTTTTTACACCCTTTTGTGATTGATTATGGTATTTTAATTTTAGTTTTATTACACAACTTCCTTGCAATTAGATTATTACTATGAAATGTTTTTCTAAACTATAATGTGTACGATGGACACAATTATCTTGGTTTTCCCAATCAATATTGTGCATGATAGAATGAATGTTCATTTGTGTATTTTATTGCTTTTTCCGCAGTTAATAAAATATTATATGAAATTCTAATTCTAAGATACATTGTAGATTGGACGTCTGCAGTCAGAAAGGATAATACTTCAAATGGTAACTTTTATGTACGCTTAGATTCTCAATCATTATTTTGTCTTCTGACCAAAAACTCACGATTTTCTTTTGTGGATTTAGGTTTTGAAACACCAGAAAATCATTGACGAACTTGTGGAAGAAAATGAGAGACTGAGGCGTATACTAATAGAGGACCTGAAAGTACCATCTAGCAAACTTGAAGCAAGTTCTTCAGGTAGAAATAGAAATACGGTGCCGTGTAGTGAATGCTTTGAGTGCCGAAGAAAACAAAGAAAAAAGTAGGTTAGTAATCATAATAGTAAAATCATAAATTCTTGCAAGTGCCTCCCCTGCATTTTTGGGTTTTCTTGGGTTTCTTGGGTTACGAATTTTTGGAGATCTCAATTTAACGAGTTAGGATGGAATGGAACTTACAAAATTAAATCCTTATTATTATTTAAATATTTAATGATAAAATAGGATTTGAAAAATAGTTTTGTTGCTTGTAACCTAATTCTCAAAAAGTAAAAGATTTTTTGTGGAATAGAGGCTGTCTTTTGTATTATTTTTAAGATTTATTTTTGTTCTTAGTTTAAAAAATATTTTGCTTTTTATCTTTTAATTTTGGATCAATTTGATTGTCCTGAAATAATTATCGTTTTCATGAGAATTCTGATGTGTGATTTTGAACTTTTTTTCTAAGTTCAAGACGTTAAACTTGTATCATTAAATTAGATTTATCTACAAAGCCCAAGGCGTCTTTTAAAAAATATTATGAACATGTTAGAAGTTGCATGAAAATTGAGCTTAGTATGTAATTAGAAAATTGACATATCAAATGTTTTGATATTTTACACTACATTTGTTACGTTCGAGATTTTTTTTTACATCTTAAGCTGTACAATTGTCATATAGATAAACGTATTAAAATAAGTTTGCACATTAAATTGGTAAAAAAATAAAAAATTATCTTGAAATGAAAAAATAACACTTATATGGATGAACCAGACTTGAAAAATAAAAGAAGTATAGGATTAATCTATTGAATTATAAGATAAATTGACAAAAGTATAATCTAGTTAGTTAAATAGATTGTATTTACAAATGACAAAACGGGCTGCTTTTGGTTTGTTCTATATTTGGTCTACAGAAAACAGGTGGGTTTAACCTATTTTACGCAAGAATGGGTTAATTGTTAGTTTGTCATGTATAATGATTAGTATGTTGAAATAAAATTGTGAAGAGAATTATACATGTTGAAATAATAATTTTATTTTAGTATTATATATCTTTATTGTATTTTATTGGTTTCCCATTGATAATGAAATTAAAATAAATTAATGAATATAAGATTAAGTTTCAAATAAATATGTGAAAATCTGAAAGTTAAATATTTGAATAAAAAAGTATAAAAATATTTTTTGTTTATAAAAAAATTATAATAATTAATAAAAAAAATGAGAAGATTCAAGTATAGAATAAAAAAAATAACAAAATAAAATAAAAGAGTTTCCTGACTTAAAAATTAAAATAATGTAAATAAAAATTTCCAAGCCAATGTAGTTACTTTGTGAATGAGTATTAGTTGACATTTAATTTGACTATCCAAAAGATATTCTTGTAAAATCGTAGCGTTATCTAATATTATTCTATATTAAGTACATATCCTGCAACTCCAACACATCGTATTCAATTAGCTAAATCAGGTTTCAAAATAAGAATAGAAAATTCAAACATTGTCGCCTGATATTGGATTATTTATTTATTTACTTATTTCTGAATTATTACACCAATCAATTATTTGTAACAGACTCTTTAAATTATTCAATGTGTTGGTTGCAACGATATTTTAAATATAGCACTTTTATTTGGGTCAGCATTTAATAATTGATGTAATTGCTATTTAAATTTTGTTTTGGATGGTACATCATGAGTTGGTCTATTTATAAAATCCAAACTGTTAAATAGACTACACTTATTATTTCTACAGTTATTCCAACATTTATATGTGTTAAGAATCAAACTAATCTAAAAATAATAACTAAAGACTGATTATTTTTATTTATTTTTATCTATTTTTATAGCAAAGTATCCTAAATATTACTAAAACATCATTTTTGTCTTAAAAAATAATTTCGTGCTAATAACTAAATAAAAATTATTAAAATATAGATCTTATAAAGTATGTTAATTGGAATAAAATTTATAAAAATGTCTTAAAAATAATATAACGTAGTAATTCATAAGTAAATTAAGACCTGTAATATAAATATACAGATAAGTTTCAAGGTTGAAATATTTTGTTTTTATCTTATTTGTTAAAAAATTTTAATTAGGTCATCAAGTTTTAATTAGTTTCAATTGAATCTTTATTTTTTAAATTATTGTTTAAATTATGATTCTTTTTATTAGTATAGTATTAACAACGTTAACTCGTACGAAATATATAATTTTGTGAATTTGTTTTTTACATAATTGTTATATGTTAAATAAGATTTTACCACACAACAAAACGTGACAGCAATAATCTTACCTGTTATTATTGAAACAAGTGTCATTATTAAAACAAGTGTCCTGTTATTATTGAAACAAGTGTCATTATTAAAACAAGTGTCATAGTTGTCATATGAAAAATATTAACTTAATCTTTTATTTATATTTTGTCTCAATTTTAGTAATTTTTTAAACTTGAATAATTTTACGGTAGATAAATTAAGACTTGTACATGACTTTTGAAATAAAATATATAGGTAAGTTTTAATATAAAATTGTATAATTTATCTATAAACATTAGAAAAAAAACATAGACATTGTGTCTAAGTGTTTGTATTTTTATATATTTTTAATGAATCTAAATATAATATTTATATTAATTTTATTTTTTAAAAGAAAACACTTTACATTTTAAAATTAAAAATAAAAAATAAAAACGCATCACATACCAGTATGACAATATGTCTCATCCTCTGCAAGGCCTTCCCAATACTTTTACACCTAAGTCCTTTCTCTTCCAGATATGATAAACAGAAAAATAAAAATATAATCTATGTACAGCCAATAAAAAAATCTTTATTATATATTGTTGCAAATGATATAAAGTTGAAATTGAGAACCTTTAAAACAATTATAAAATATTAATAGCATATTATTTTATTTGGAAGGCCAAACCACTTTGTTCTCTGGTCTCATTATTATGAACTCAGCATGTTTATCGGTGGTTGTTCTGATATTAACATGATAAATCCAATTTTTTATAGATGATCATTTTTCAAGAAATTAAGATTTAAGTTTAAGTTTGGTTTTAACTCACAATTTACATTGTTTCTTGCTTGCATGATGTGCTAATGGTGATTAATGGAAGGAGAAATTGAGAATGAACAAAGTGATACTTAGCTTTTGAAGAAAATAAATGTATTTTGAAGTGAGAATCCTTTTACTTTGAAGATGGTTTTGGAATAAGCCCTTTAAATATACTTACTTCCATCGTCTCTAAAACCTTCATTGAACAAGATGGATTGGAAACGCTTCTTCAACGCAAAAACTCCCCAAAATCCCAGTATCACTTTTTCCCATTTCCCTTCTCTTTCATATATCATATTCATATCTATCTTTTGTTTTCAAGCATATTCATGAATGACTTTCGAGATAGTTTTTAGAAGTGAACAAAATTACAGTATATAGTACTTTTTCATTGGTTGATGAAACAAAAACCAGTTACACGCATGGTTGATTCTTCTGCATGCTTGACATATTGGTTTAAACCTGCGAAATCATACTAAACTATAACTGAGTGGTAATATTTGTAAACCAATGGTTATATTTGCATGTATTATTCGACATGTGTAGATACAATGTCCATGTTGGATCAAGTGACGAGCGTCACCAAGGGTGCAACAGATGGAATTTCTAGTGTTAGCAATTCGGTGAGACAAAATTCATCAGCTTCTTCTTTCAAGCATGCTGTCATTACCACGTTGCTCCTTCTTTTCTCTTGTGTTGCTTCTGGAAAAATGTCTCTTTCTCATGTTTTATACAGATTAGGATGTTGGGAACTTCGAGTATTCAGGGCGCGGTTGGATATGGAATTGGTTTTCGCCATGGTTTTGGACTTGGTATATATATATAATGCATTATATGCATGATTTCTACATTCATATGCATTACACACTAAAGAATGAAACTGTGGAAGCAGAAAACGATGCTAGGATTTGTCACAAATTACGTGTCGAATATCTTACATAGACTAAAACCGAAACAATCTTCATTCGATTGCTGAGTTTTTTCATTTACTCACCTGCAGGTATATCTATGAAATCAGGAGTGGATAAACTTCAATCTAGTGTAATAGTATGTGGAATTTCACTCATCTCAAAAAGTTTTCTTGTATTCTCTGCCTTTTATGGATGATTAAATCTTGAATTTGGCAGGAACCAATGACAAAAATGACTGGACTTGTTCCCGGTTTACCCTTTGGTCAGGGTGCATTGCCGATGCCAGCATCCTCAAAGAATGACCAAGTTTCTTCTGAAAGCATGATGCAATCGGTAACTAAATCAGCAGATCAAATATCTGCAGGAAGAAGCATGATGCAGCAGGCAACTAAATCATTTGACCAAATTTCTCAAGAAAGCTTAATGCAGTTGGCAAATAAATCAGTCCACCAGCTTTCACAAGGTCTTGTAGGGTCTCAAACAGAGAAGGTTATTATTCGTATCTTTCCACAAACTCCACCATTTAACCAAGAACAGGTTTCAAATAAATCAAAACCGTCTCTTATCAGAAGATGTTGTGCCTTTCAAAATGCCTTATGACTTGGGTTTTCACAGACTCATTATGTTCATGCAATTGTATGAAATGATAATTTGAGCTTTTCCTAAGTTTATGAAACATAATTTGAAAATCTGATTCAGAGATACTTTGTAGGGTGGACTCGTGCAGTCAGAAAATGAACTACTTCAGACGGTAATTTTTTATTTGAAGCCACATGTACCACAGTGGATAGCATATACTTTTTATTGAACTTTTCGAATGGTTGAGTTACTTCAAGTATGAAAAATCAGTGTTGCTATTACTATGGATTTAGGTTATGAAACAGCGACAAATCATTGATGAACTTAGGGAGGAAAATGAGAAGCTTTGCCAGATACTGCAAGTGAAGGACCTGAAAATACCATGCAGCAAGCTTCCGCCAAGTTCTTCAGGTGAATTGGGATGAGGTTGCAAGTACTGATTTTTTAGTGCCCTAAAACACAAATACACAAGTAGATTATGCCGTTGTGTTAGATGTCCCACGTGAATTAGAAATATGGTCGATTTAGAATCAATATATATATATATATATATATATATATATATATATATATTCTCCATAA